AATGTAACTAAAGATTTTTCATAAGTCATTAATGATACATAGGCATGCCATTTTTTATGAGAATTTTAGTTCACATTTTATCATAATCGCAAATTCACAATTAATTAGTAATTATAAAAGTATTGATAATAAAAATTACAAGGCTAAGGCTTGATAACTTAATACAATGTCTTTCATACAAGTAGTTCAAACTTTTACCAAAAAATTATTGATCATTTTAGGAAAGTCGTTATGCAAATACAATTTTTTAAATTTAATTCAACCTATACCTATAGGTATATCGTATATATTATTAGTTATTAGTTATAGCTAATCTGGTTTACTTACTAGTGGATGACAGTTGAAACTTGATGAATAATTATTATTTTGATGTAATAATAATAGTATAATACAAGCAAATGAGGGGACTTCAGCCCGTAGTCCTTCCCTTACCCAATGTGTACGCCACTGGATCATTTGGGATTGGTTACATAGCGTATATATATTTAATGACTATATATGATCTGGGTAAGCTAGTAACGTGAAACGCAAACTTGAACTAAATATGGACTTTATGGATCATACCATGTTATTTACCTATACGTATTATGCAATTGTATATAGAATTTATTATAAAGGTACAGGAGGTACATACTAAACTATGCTATTCATGATTTGTTGCTTTTATAACGTTTAAAAATCTAAAGACTAAACACAAGCCAAAAGAAATAGAATTCCTACAGTTAAGTGGCGATGGCGTGACAATGACGATAACTTCATTAAAATTATAAATGGAGACTGGTCAGTAAATTATAATTGTGGCCACCWGTCGCCCACTCAATTTATTTGCTGTGATAAATTTGGAATTTGATGACGCAAGATTATGAAAGCAATATTATTATAGTTTAACTCCAAGAACATATAAAAAAACGACGTTCTTCAAAAATCATTGATGTTGTGACTTGTGGAAGAAGTGCAATGCAAGTTCAAAAACAAAAAATAAAAATATATTTTCAATTTATGATACATGTTTTAAAAAAATTTCATGATTATTCGAATATTATGACTTTTTATCATACATTTTAAATTATATAAACTATACTGAGACAATCACGATTAGTATATAATTTGTTTAATGCTTGTCGATGTTGAATTTATTTTATAGGTATAATTATATAATATAATAATATCTTAAATAATATATAATACTACAAATTATTGTTGTCGTGCATTTTTGTAGGCTGCCTTCAATATTTTTACTGAATAATAATACATTTTATCAATTTACTACAGAAGGCGTTGCATAGCTGCAACCAAACATTCGCACAGTGTGACATTTGATGTCTACGTCTTACAAGACGTGTGTAACATGGCMAATGTTGAAATTTACGATTAGCTGATCACGTGTAGCTTAGTTAGTTTAAAAACTAGAGTGAATCTACCTATAGTGAAGTATGATGGCAAGAATATTATCTGTGTTCGTTGTGAGTTTTTAACGATGGTATAATTTTTTTAGTAAGTTTTGCGTATATAAAATAGCATAAATTAAAGAAGTTCATAACTCACTTAAAAACTGAACAACTAAACAAAAAATCCACATAACAAACAYAGATTATGTTCTTACCATCATGTTTCATATAGTAGATCGGATTCACTCTAATTTTTACGAATTTACAAGTRGTCTACTAAGCGTACACTTGGTGTATGTTACGCACTTGTAAGAAGAATATAACAAATGACAGTGTTACGTCCCCTTAGCTCTTAATCAAGTAGTCTGATATAATAGTTTTTTCTAAATGTATGAATCAACTATTATTTTGAAGAAAATAAAAATAATCTTATATATTCTAAATCATCCTAGATTTTGTTAAAAACATAACGCTAAGTATCACACCTGTTATTATAATAAAGGCCGTGTCATTTGCATAGTAAACGAAATCTCCCTTTACTCGTAATATACAAAATATGAATATGATTCAAAAAGACCTATATATATGATTATTAAAGCGCGATTTGAAACAYGATAAATGATACAAATATTATCTCACTGACGACCGTATYGTAGCACTGCAGTTGAATGAACACTGATGGATAATGACAAGTGAACGAGTTTCGTCCCAAGCGTAAAAAATTGAAATTAAAGATATACTAGTTTCGTACCGGCTTTCTTTAATGGATAAAATAATAATTCTGTCTAGTGTCAGATATTTTCAATTAGTTCAGTCCATTTAACATTTTTCCTTAGCTATTATAAAATTTATATTTTGTAAGTCGTTTTATATTGTATTGCATTGTTTTTTATTTATAGGTAAAAACAAGATCGACAGTTGAATTGAATTAATATATAATTTAGAAAT